CCAGTGAAATATATTTATGTTTGTGGTTGTAATGTGACAAAATATGGAAAAGTTCAAGGGGTATGAATACTTTTGCAAACCACTGTATTTAGTCAGTTCAACGACCTGGCCTTGTTGCCCACATCTGGATTGGATAATAGTGATGATAGAAGAGGAACTGTTGGTAATAAGGGTTTCACAATCAAGATTTTAATAGTTTTTATTTTTCATTATAGCTAAATAGTTTTTTCGTTGTGACTTGTTTCTTTTAATTTAGTTAGTCTTAATTAGTTTTTAGAGTGGATTTGCTAGTATTTATTAGTTATTATTGCTTTTTTAATGCTTAGTTTTAGTTTAGTTTTCATTATTTTCATTTGCCCTGAGACAAAATACGTTGTGACTTGGTGCTATTTAAATAAACTGAACTTGAACTTGAATTAGTTCTAGTATTAGTTTTTTATACATTTATATATGTGACTCATCACATCAAAATGAGGATTAAGTCCAAAAGTGGTACAAGGAGAAAAAGGCAAATATAGTGTTTTGACTAAAATGTTAACAAAAATTGCATTTTGTCAAAATATAATAATGAAAGCCTTGTCAATGTATCATTTGAATGGACTGTCTGAAATATAATCATAAAACAAAAATTTGAAACACTTTTTTGAGCAGTAGCAACAAAAAAAAACTGATTTTGATGAAAAACGCCTTAAAATGTTGAGATTTTCCCTGTGAGTTAGCAAAGTTTTGTTTCTTTTTAGCTGGTAAATCTCAATATTCAAATATAATGTGAGGTTTCCTCTTTATAAGGACATCAAAAATTCCTCATTAAAATGACATAAAATTAGGATTTAGACCAAATATTTATGTAGTATTGTAAACAACAAGACAAATTAAGTCATATATGGATTTAATTATGATATCAGGATGATCCAGGTGTCAAAATGTAGCTTTTAAAGACAAGAATCTGAAAATATAAATAGGTCATTTTGATCAAATTTGACTTGATCCTCATTTCGATATGATGGGTCACATATTTGCCAATGCCTCCTCCAGCTTGTGGTGTTCCTGTGAGTTATCTAACCAGCAGTTTTTGGTGCCAGTGAAAGCAGTCTGTAATCACGTAACACTACTGCCAGAAGCTAGCTTGTCAAGATACTCACAGTTTGTGCGACTTGTGCGAGCTTGAGTCATGCAGTTTTTCCCCTGGAAGTTTTCCACCAGTTTTATCACCTGTTTCCACTACAAGACACTTGTTTTTATKTTTCTGAAAGTCATATTGGAAGAAATCTTAAATTGGACTTTGTCGCTTTCTCCAAACGTTTGTTGTCATCATTTAGCAGGCTAGTACTGAGCAGCAGCAGACTGTAAATGAATGATACAAACCGTGAGGTGCCGTAAGCTGCTCATAGCTAATGTGTAACTGCTCAAAACCATAAGAAGAAAAATAAAAGATTTGTTTAATCAGTCCACACGGTTTAAAATAAACTAACACTAAAACTAAGGATACTGTAGCTATAACTTCAGCTAGTTTTAGTTAGTTTTGTAAAAAGATTATACACTTTCAGTTATCAACATTTTTTTATTTCATTATGGTTTTTATTCATTTTAGTTGATTACAATTTTATTTTCAATTTCAGTTTTCGTAATTTTGTTCTAGTAAACTATAACAACGCTGTTCACAACTTCATCTCATCTCTGCCCTTTAGGGGAAATTGTGGGCAGTTACGTCCAGTGTTGTAAAAAGCAGTGGTTCCCAAACTTTTTATCTTCTGACCCACAAAATATTCATTACAAAATCTTGTGACCCCAAATATTACTGGTCTGAGTACACAAACTTTGTAAATAACCCTAAAACAAAGGCTACACAAATATAAATACTTACTTGTATTTATTTTGTGTTTTTGTAATAATTATCGGGAAAATATTACATCACCAATTATTTGATTACCCTTTAAATTGATTTCTG